GGGGGGAAGACTTTTCCTTTTTACTGTATGAACTTTTATCATATTGGAATAATGTTTGTAATTAGTGTACTATCTTTTATAATGAAACACAATTGAGAAAAGATATCAAATAATAAATTTTATACCTAACTACTTTTTTAGGGTATTTACCATATGGCTGTAATTTAAATTAAAGAATTTTACCGCAAATAGCAAACTAATAGTTCAAGACTGCATTTTGGTAGGGGGAGGGAGGATAAAAATTCTCTACTCCTAAGAAAATATTCATTCTTTATTTTTCCTTTCCTTTAATATAAAGAAACTATTATTTTTAGCCACAGAAATAATTATGCTGGTAGTCAGATTTGTAATTAGGAATGAATTGAATGGAACTCTTTTGAAAACTTTTCAGTGAAATTATCCTACTTATGAGCCCAAACTAAAATGAACATACATTTATTAAGTACCTTTATTTTTCAAGCATTGTCTTATGCTTGAGGGATAGGGTATACAGTCTAATAAAATCAAAAAAATTATGACTTAAAAAAACTGCAGGCAGTAAATATTCTTAATATTATTCTAGGAGATGAGGGTTTAACCCTAAGAAACTGTAAGCTAAAAAGTTTAGAGCATGTTGTGGAACATTTTTCTTCATCAAAAACAAAACTAAGCTGACTTATGAGAGTCAATGAAATTTTTTTACATTTTAACCTCAAAAGTTAATAGAAAAGAAAATGAACTTTGCTAATAATATGCCCTTTTGATCATATGCAATGTCTGAAAATAATTCAGAATCATCTCATTACCTTACCTTTCATATACAAAGGTCCGTACAGATTCAAAGTATAAAAAAGCTGTAGAAGTCACTGTAGTTAAGAGAACTTGTAGAGAAAGGATGCTGTAGACTTTTCTTAGAAAGGCTAAAAGAGAAAAAAAATTACACATGACTATTTTCTTAAGCATTTATCATAGAACAGTACAAGCAAATTTCTTCTTAGAAAAATTAAGTTTTTTACATGCATTTTTTTTCTTAAATCTTAACCTAAATGATGTAATCTGTAACTAAAACTAGACAAAAAGAAAACGCTTCCAAAGTAATTCAAAAATTTTAAGGGATAGCTAACCCTCCAAAAAGCATGAGCTTAAAAAAAATTAAGTTAATGGGCCAGAATATAAATGTTTTCATCAAAATAAAAAGTAAGTATTAAATGCCTATTGATACACAAGAGCATACAACAAAGCAAAAGATTAAAAGCAGAATATCTTTAAGGAATGATTATATCCTTGAATCTAAAAAGCAGAAATAGAAAGCATATAAATTTTTTTAAGTCTGAATTTCCACAGCAGTAAAAATGTTTCCCCAAAATGAAACTTATACTTAAAGGAAAATAATATATAAACTTACTTTCACTCATCTATTTTTATTTCTCATCTATAATACCTCTGCTTCTAGTTTCTATACAATAGGAAATTCTTACTTTCATAATACTTTATCAACATCCATAAATTACCTCCGAGGCCTAGTGATTAACACATTAACTGCCATGTGAGTTGTATTTAACTGACACTAGTTTTGATGCTGTGGCCTAGTGAAGCATATGTAACTCACATGTCCCTTTACCTTGAGAGCTACGTGGTACGCTGGTAACTCACACTGTAGCATACATGTTACATGACGGGTGGCCCCCTGGGCAAAACCCTGCAGTTGGTTCTTGAAAATCTTACTTGTTGATGTCCTTATTGTTATAATTAACATTAATTTAATTGCATATAACTCACGTACAGAAAACAATAAAAAAGTAAGAAATTTTTCATTAAATGAGAAAGGATCATTGTTTTTGAAGTTTTTATTCTATTTTTGTAATAAAACACCATGGCCCCAAAGGAAAAAAAGAATGAATGCACAACAATGTCCATATACTTAACACTATTGAACTCTGCACTTCAAAATGATTATGATGGTAAATTTTATGTTATGTGTATTTTAACAAAATTAAGGGTCTTTTTTAAAAAGCTGAGCTTGCACCAGTATCGCGGGCTCTCGCCTGTAATCCCAGCAACTGGGGAGGCCAAGGCGGGAGGATCGCTTGAGGCCAGGAAGTTTGAGTCCAGCCTGGGCAATACAGCAAGACCTCATCTCTAGAAAAACAAAAAAATTAAACAAACAAACAAAAAGAAATAGCGCCTATAGTGCCAACTACTCAGGAGGCTGAGAGGAATCACTTGAGTCCAGAAGTTTGAAGTTGCAATGAGCTGTTATCGCACCACTACACTCCAGCATGAGCAACAGAACAAGACTCTTGTCTCAAAAAAAAAAAAAAAACTCCAGCAATATAAATGCTAGGCACTAAGACTCTTAGTGCATCTTCATAATTCAAGAACTTGAAAATATGGGGCAACTTCTACGATCAAATGGCTTAACTTGAGCAGACATGAATTCCACAACTGAGCATTTTAAATTCGAAATAATTTCAGTCAACTGAATACTATATAATAAGTTAAAACTAACATCTTTTGATCGACTTAGGAAGCTTCCATTTCCAGCAGCTTCCTCACCAATACTCAAACATATGTTGAGTTCTAGGCCCGGCAGAAAGAAAACAGTGAAGAGATAGATAGGATCTCTGCTCTCAGGGAGCTGACAGTCTAGCAATGGAGACAGACGAGCAAAGAAAAACTTGTAACCCCATAAAGCAAAAATATCAAGAAAGTTAACTCCATTCGGTGTACATCACAGTGATCACACGATAAACTTATTTTCACCAAAAAAGCAACCGTTTCTTTTTTTTTTTTAGACAGTCTCGCTCTGTTGCTGGGGCTAGAGTGCAATGGCGTCATCATAGCTCACTGCAACCTCAAACTCCTGGGCTCAAGCGATCCTCCGGCCTCAGCCTCCCCAATAGCTGAGACCACAGGCGCGCCACCACTCCCGGCTAACTTTTTCTATTTTTAATAGAGACGGGATCTTGCTCTCGCTCAGGCTGGTTTCGAACTCCTGGGCTCAAACGATCCTTCCGCCTCGGCCTCCCAGAGTGTTAAGATTACAGGCGTGAGCCACCGCGCCCCGCCAATCCCTCGTTTCTTTTAAAGATGAAAAAATAAAGGCTGCTGAGGTGTTCATTTGTGCCTTCGTACAGCGCGAGCGCCAGCTCAGGCTCCGGAGCTCACAGCTGGGGGAGCAGCAGGCCTCTCGGGAGCCGCGATCTGCCCTAGAGCCCCGGGGAGGGGAGCGCGACCTTCCTCGGGTCCCTGGGGGAGACGGAGGGCAGGAAGGGTAGGCGTGCTTAGGGGAGAACTTTCCCTCCGAATCCTGGGAGACGGGCTCTCCCCCTCTGAAGCCGGAAATCCGCCTCCAAAGGCCGACCGCGCAGCAGTGCGACAAGGGCCGGAGAGGCGCGGGGAGGGGCGACGTACCCATTCGGATGTGCACACTGGCAGAGGCCACGCAGCTGCCATAGTTGAAGTCATCCTCGATCGAGGAGCAGGGGTATCGGGAGTCAGAGTTGGCCATGTTGGCAGCAGAACCCCTACCGACCCGGGCGAGCCGGTGAGACGACACCCACCACAACGGCCTTCAGCTCACTTCCGCGATGAAGCACTCAAGCCCGAACTAGCCGAGCCGCCTCCGCGGGGCGAACCTCGAGCTAATCGATTATCTCGCCTCTAGAATGCCGGCTGTGCTGGACGCCATAGCGCGCGCCTGTCGTCCTAGCTATGCGGGAGGATCGCTTGAGCCCACGAGTTCCAGTCCAGCCTGGGCAACGTAGCAAGACTTACCGTCCCACCCCGCCTCCTTAAAAAATTTCAAGTTAGGCAGAGGAAGTGGAGAGTGCATCAGGTTAAGATGGGAAAGAAAATGGACATTTCCAGCGTCATCTGAAATGAAATTTTTCTCAGATTTTCCACAACGAGCTTTTAAAATCCTCTCACCTGGAGAGTTGCTACAGGTGAAAGAAGCGATGTCGCATTCACCCATCCATTCATCAAATACCCATCTCATTCATCCAGTCCTTCAATAATCATACCAGGGATGCACTTTTACTTATATTATTTTTAATAATAATAATCGCTACATTTATTGAGCATTTCCTATAAACCAGGCTTTCTGAATGAGGTAACACTTAATCCTGGAAGGCAAGCAGAAGCTAGCCAGAGAAAGAGTAGTGTAGGTAGGTTCCAAGGGACCAACATCTGCAGAGAGGAAGAGAGTAAAGCTCAGCTGGTGTAGGGGACAGGTGGCAAAGAATGAAGCGAGATAGATAAGCAAAGACCACATCGCCATATGCCAAATGTAGAATGCACTGGAGAGGGTCATGACCAAAGGCAGGGAAAAAGAGTTAATCTAAGAGAGAGATGATGGTGGTGGTGGCAAATACAATGGATCAGACTGAATATTTATGATATTGTTGTCATCTCAATACAAAGATGAGGTGTAGACAACCAGAGTAGTATCATCCCAGGGTCCTTTGGAATTTTTTTGTTGAGTGTACTTTGATGCACACACATTGCCCAGTCCTCACTTTAACTGTAACACCCAAGAGTCTCGGCGAGTGGAACTCAGAACAGTCTATACTGAAATTGAATCCTTAAACTTAATGTTATAGGAAGCTTTTGTCAAAAGAACTAACCTCGCTTCCATAATGACAAGAACAAAAAAACTTACCTTTTACAATTTTACATTTTATAAACATATTACTCATCTTAATACAAAGCCATAATAATGGGATTTATTATAGAGGACAAACTGGAATTGGACTGCAAACTCAGTTTTTACTGACTAAAAACAGCCTTAGCAAAGTTTGATCCCCTATCTCTTACCAGTTACGAAAATAAATTCCACATAGATTGTGGTTCTAAACGTGAAAGGCAAAACAATAAAACCTAAAGAAAATGATATAGAAGAATATCTTTATGATTTGGAAGAAGACACAGATTTCTGAAAGCAGATACAAAATCACACTTAACCTTAAGGGAAAAGATTGACAAACTAAACTGTATTAAAATCAGAAACTTATAGCAATCAAAATATAAGAGAATAAAAAGCAGGCCATAGAGTAGGAGAAGATGTCTGCTACACATTTACTGCACGTAAGGATCCTTTCCAGAATATAAAAACAATTGTTACAAATCCATACAAAATAAGACAGACGGCCAATAGAAAAGTAGGCAAAAGACTGGAACAAGCACCACACACGCACACACACACATGCACACACTACCAACTGGCTAATAAACATATGAAAAGATGCTTACCTTCATTAATAATCAGAAATGCAAATAAATGCCAAAATGAGGTATCCCTAAGCACCCACCAAATGATTAAAATTAGGAGATTGACAATATCAAGTTTTGGTAAGACTGGATTAACTAGAACTCCAACCAGAGCTGTCTTCATAGGCATGTATCCTGTGCTGTTGCACAGTGGTTTGCACTCTGTACTTGGTTTAATGCTCAGCAGTTGCCATTTTGAAATTATTAATAATTTTGCCTCTGTACTTGTTTTATAAATGAAGTCTGAAAAGAAAATAGAGCACGAACATGAGTACAAGAGGTTCACATAATATGGGTGTCTACTCTTCCCTGATAACCATTTGCGATTAGCATTCAGGATCTCCATGAGCAAAGAATTCTGTTGGACCTACTATGCATGGGAGTTAAGCTAGACTCAAAGCCAGTTCAAGACAAGCATGTCACATCTGCTACTGAATAACAGGAGGGGAAGGGAGAGCACTGACAGCCCCAAGAGGCCATGATTTTCCGGAACTTACTTTAAATGCAGAAAGAAGGCAATGACGTTCCAAGAAACATGAATGACCAAGGAATCTTAACACATTCTTTTTTACTTGCGTTTCTTCCTTGTATTAGCCAACCACTTACACTAAAAACAGAGATATAGAAAGAAAGGGAAAGACAAGGCAACCATAGTTCCTTTTCTTTTCAGTCTATCCTTTTAAATAAACTGAATGAAAGTAGAGAGCATTTGTTGGTATAATGTGCATGTATCAAGAAGTGAAATAAAAAGGTGAGTTAGTTTTGTGTAGTTTTTACATGGTTCTTGTAAGAATGAAATACATATGCATGTATAAGCTATGAAATACAAATTGTGTATTTTTGATGCTTCCCCATATGAGTTAAATGCTCCTTTATATTTGCATTGCAAGCTAGGCATGGTGGCTCACATCTGCAATCCTAGTAATTTGAGAGGCCAAGGTAGATGGATTGCTTGAAGCCAGGAGACCAGCCTGGGCAACATAGCAAGACCCCTTCTCTTTAAAAGATGAAAATAATTAGCTGGGCATGGTGGTATGTGCCCATAGTCCCAGCTACTCAAGATACTGCCAAAGTATCAAGTTGAGGGAGGAAGATCAGTTGAGCCCAGGAGTTCAAGGTTGCAGTGAGCTGTGATCACACCACTACACTCCAGCCTGGGTGACAGAAGGAGACCCTGTCTCTAAAAAATAAGAAAGGAAATAAATAAATAAATAAATTTTCATTGCACAATAAAAAGATCAATGGTAAAATTTGTGCAAATAATTTTAAATGATATTTTTCTTTACTTTGCTACATTAAATAGCAAGTAAAAACTATCATGGCAAGTCAAGAGATTGCAAAAGAAATGTAAAAGCTTTATATTTAAGTACCTTTAATTGGGCTTTTTTCCCTGCTTTTTGAACAAGAGGTCCCACATTTTTATTTTGCACTGGGCTGCACAAATTATGTACACGGCCCCAACGGTGGTAGCGTAAAACAGAGAAAACTCTTTGGAAAATTGTTTGGCAGCATCTACCAAAGCTGAATACACACTGCAAGTTCTATGATTTAGCAATTCTACTCCTAGGTAAAGTATATGCCCAACAGAAATGCATGTTTATGTTTACAAAAGACATATCTGAGAATATACATTAGGAGCATTATTAATAATAGCCAAAAACTAGAAACAACCCAAATGTCCACCACTAGGAAAATGGATAAATAAATCGAGGTATATTCATATAATTACATACTTTATACAATGGAAATGAACAAATTACTATTAATATTATACGTAACATGGAGGAATCTTACAAATATAACGCTGAGCAAAAGAAACCAGATACCAAGAATATATACTATACAATACCCTGTAAAGGTTGAAAAGCAAACAAAATATTTGGTCTTAGACATCAGGAAATTGTCTATCTTTGGGGAGGAGGAAGGGATAATAATTGGGAAGAGGCACTTAGAAGGACTTCTGGGATTGTAGTAATGTTCTGTTTCCTGGCTGGTTACATATGTTCACTTTGTGAAAATGAGGCAGGCTGTTTATACTTAGGCTGTGTGTGCTGTTCTGTATATTATACTTAAATTTTAAAATTGTTTCTAAAAAGCAAAAGAAATTATTTGCTCCCTCTCGGTTTAGATAAGAAAGTTATTTTGTGACAATAAAGCATTTACTTACAAATACGGAATCTAATAACTCAGTATTCTGTTGTTCCTCTATTTCTTTTAAAACTACAATTTCAAGGAAAGTGCTTTGCAAGTAAAATCACTAATCTAAAGGAATTGTTAATGGTTTTAAAGACCTTTCTGCATGCTTCCTCCTCCTTTTAACCATCTCTTCATCATTCTCCTCTTATTTTCATCTAATATATTTGCTCTACAAACCTCAAGTTAAAATGTCTTCTAGTCTAGACTAGGACACCCAGTAGGTGTTGGAGAGTTGTGTTCAGAACATAGTATGTAAAGTACGAACATAGTGCCTGGCACACAATAAGTGCTGTAATTATTATTGGCTATCGGTACAGTCATGACTCCTTTCATTCATTAGACATTTTTTGAGTAGTTACTCTGTGCCAAGCATATACAAGGTACACAAAGATGACTATGACTGCCCTGCAGCACACCGATCTTCAACAAGCCCACAGTGAAACAACAGAAACAATAACAACAACAACAAAAGTTCTGATAGAAATAAGTAATGAATTGTATGGAACCTGGAAAGAAATGATTAACTTTGGGGAGACTGTAAATGGTTTCACAGAGTGTTTTAGTTTCCTAGGGCTGCTGTAACAGTTACCACAAACTGTATGGCTTTCAACAACAGAAAGTTCTGAGGGCCAGAAGTCTGAGATGAAGACGTCAGTATGGTTGGTTCCTTCTAGAGGTGCTGAGGAAGAATCTGTTTCATGCATCTGGTGATTGCCAGGAATCCCTGGAGTTCCTTAGCTGTGGCTGCATCACTCCAATCTCTGCCTCTGTTGTCACATGTCCTTTCCTCTGTGTCTCCATGCTAAACTTTCCCTCTTCTTATAAGGGCACTAGTCATTGGGTTAAGGCCCACCCTAATCCAGCATGACACCCTCTTAACCTGATTACATCTGCATAGTCCGTATTTCCAATTAAGGTCACATTCAAAGGTACTGTGGATTAGGACTTAAACATATATTTTTGGGGTACACAATTCAATTTACAACATAGACATGGTGACTTTTCAATTGGGTATCAAATGATAATTAGGGATTCACCAGGCAGGAGATATCGTGAAAATCCAAATATGAAGTAACTAATACAGACAAGTTGGAAATGACCCAGACACATATGAGAGATTTAGTGACCTATTAGATATAGGCATCTAACACAATATCTGCCCCAGTTAGTGCTCTGTAAATTCTTCTGAATATAGTATTAATCAACCAGTCAAAACTA